GAAATTGAGAAATTTTAGAAGATAGAAGATGCAAAATGGTAAAAGGTAAAGGTGAGAATTATTATAGGTTCAAAGCGATAGCGGTTCATTATCAGCAGTGGCCGACCACCGCCTGACATGCATTAAATGCCTTGAAAGACTAAACCAACAGGACAACTATCATGTGCGTCATGGTCGAACTTGATGGAATCGACAAGATATAATCCGATCGAGCCGTTGAAAATCATATCGTTTCTCGTCATATTTCTTTCTGAGAAATGAGGGGACTATCTGTATATGGTCGAAATGGATTTCAGCCTTGGCATGTCCAGTACGGTTCGAAGGGTGGTATATCGAAGTAAGATCCCGAGGGGGAGGGCACGAACTAACCTAGAGCCCGGGGAGGCCGGTCTGTGTTGAGATCGATATCATAATCAAACTCGAACAAGAATCAAACCATGGCGCGGGTAGATCCATCGTGCTGATAATCCAAAAACCAACCTACGTCGACCTGGAATCCATCCGAGGGCTCGAACCAAGATCACGAGTTCGAGCCGAAATCAAGCTCGAACCAAAATTGAGGATTCTAAGCAAGATCGAGCTCGCAGACAAAAGCCGTTGTAATCCCACTAGAGGGAATCTTGGCAGAAATTATGGAAAAACTGATTTATCATGAGTCTCCCACTGAATGTGTATTTTATTATACTTGTAGCCAAACCCCTTCACTATAAAAGGGCTTGTTTATCATTCTTGTAGGGCATCCTTTTTTGGGGACTTAGACTGTCAAAAAACTGTATTATATCCTCTATAAGAAAAGAGTGATCTTTCTAGTTTCTGAGATTGATTCTATTTTGTAAAATCCTAAATTCACTGTTCATAATTGATTTGCCTGGATTACATTTTCTCCAACCTATATTCATCCTTTTATTTATCTTAGCGTTCTGTATTAAGTTGTACAGATAACACAATTAATCCTGTTGTATAAGATACTACAACTCATTTAAACTCTCTTGTGAACAGAAAGGATCTGTGGCTCTGACCAGTATGAATATAACCTAGGGAGATATACTGCTGTACATCTTGGATGCCTATCAAAGGCTGGCTCATTGCATCTGAAATTAAGCAGAGTAAAACCTCCATGACTAATTTAACAGAAAAAAGGTGCCCGTGGGGGGGGGGGGGGG